AGACGAGAATGCCGAGGTGGATGAGAAAATATACAATAAAAGGTTTAATTAAAATGAATATATTTGGGAGAAAGTTAGACTGGAAAGCTATTGAGAAGATGATATAAACAAATAAAAGGTGATTTGGTCACTTGAAAAGTAAGACCAACAGAGGTTCTAGTGAAAAAAATGGATCAAATAGACTTTAGTTAAAAGTGGTGTAGAAGGCATATCGAATTGTTAAGAGAAACCATTAGAAAAGACCTTTCTCTAAATAGTTGTACTGCAAAGTTTGGTTTTTGATAGAGCCCAATGGTTGATGACTTATTTCCTGCATATAGTTTGCTTGTTCTGTTTTTCTTTAGCCTTTACTCTATAATTTTCTGGTGGATTTGTTGTTGTCCTTTCCATTTCCATTTCTTTTTTTGGCTCGGAACTTTTTATAAGGAACCATTGGAACCAAATAGTTAATTTTAAATTTTAATCATTGCATTGATAATAGTAAAAGAAAACCTCTTATCTGCCCATGGGATCTTAGCAGCACTCTATTATTTTTAATCCACCTGATACTGTCTTGTGAGGTGTCTTTCTCTTCAATTGTCAATATAATTCTAATTTTATATATCATTTGGTGAAATCAAGGTTTTAACTGTGGGGAAGCTGCTAACTTTGGAACTCCCCAATGGCTTAGAGTAGCTAAGGAAGCTGCAGTGCGCCGAGCTGCAATGAACTATCTTCCCATGCTTTCCCATCAGCAACTGCTTTACTTACTGACCATGTCTTTTATTTCAAGGTAAGCTGATCTTCCAGTACCACTGCTTATATACATTGATACATCTCTATGGAGATGAAATTATCATTTCAATAAATAATTTTCTCTAATTTCCTTTCAGTTATATTTTACTTACCATTAAAAACAGGTGATAATCAATTTTAGTTATTCGTGATTGCCATTGGTGACTTAATTAATTATCTCACCAGTTGTTTAATGAAATGAATGGATGGACTAGTAAGATTATAAGTCCTTTTCTATTACCCTAAATGTATTCAAATTTCAAAATAGAGATGTCTGGGGCTTTATCAGCTTTTATTAAACATTAATATAAGAGACAGTTTTGAGAGATTTTTAGATTAAAATTGTAATATGTTTTTGGTTCAATTTGGGCTCAAAGTGGAATCTCTCTGTCAGCTTTTAGATTGTATAAGTATAAATGGTGATATTGCTCTGTCTTCGTTTCGTGTTTTTCTATCACAAAGATTGTTCTAACATTCAGAGGCATTATTGCATTATGCTTTTATCTAGGTTTCAAATGGGTTACATAATTTTTATTCCTCCTGATGATATGTTTGATTTGATAGAGTGCCAAGAACACTATTACCTGGTGTGCGTAGTTCTCGTCTGAGAGACCGTCAGAAAGAAGAGAGGGAGATTTTAGTTAAACAGGCTTTTATAGAAGACATGCTACTGGAAAACAAGCTACTATCCATTCTTCTTGGAAAGGAAGCAACTAAAAAAGCTGTTTTATGGAATGCTGATTTACTGCCAGATTCCAGCAAAGATTTTCAGTTGCCGGATTTAACTTCTACTACTGGAACATCTGTGTCAGACATGTCAAATATTAGTTCTGCAGAAAAGAGTAGTCATTATCTTCTTGATGAGATGAGTTTGTATATGGATAATTTAACCTATTTAGATCTTGGTGATGATGATCTTCCATGTCACTTCCAAACTGATTCAGGAGCACTTGCTTGTGTGGGTTGTGGAATCCTTGGTTTTCCATTTATGACTGTGATACAACCAACTGAGAAATTGACAATGGAACTTCTTCCAGATAATCATCTAGTTCATGTTTCCTCTCCAGACTCTACAGCTTGCATTCGTAGTTCCATCTCAAGTAATACCTTCATACTTTTTCATATTGTCTATATTTGTTCTTTATCACATTTTCATATGTAGGTTTTTATGCCTTTTTGCATTATGTGGTAAAATTGAACATGTCAACTACTATAGATGCTGGCTGGGGCAGTAAAGTTATAATGTTTTGCATTATTGTGACGGTGGTCTCTAAATTCAAATATTCTAAATTCCTGGATCAAATAGAATATTAATATCTGAGGAAATTGTGTTATGGCTCTCTTACAGCTTGGTAGACACCTTATTACTGTCACCCCTGCACTTTTTCTTTAGTGGTATTTGATGTGGCTATAATTGGTATATTGAATTGGTTCTTCTATGTAATAATGAACCAAAGTACCAAATTACAGTAACCAAAATATTATTTTATCCTCTGTTGTGTTTACTGGAAATTCAGCATGCTCCATATCTCAAGATTAGGTGAAAATTAATGGAAAATGATTATATCAACTAGGCACCATTTTGATTTGTAGTTTAAAATATATATTTATGATATTATGGAAGCTGACATTATGACCTAAATATATTTGATAAAAAATGTGGGTTGAACTTTTGAGGTAGTCCTTTACTTTTCCAATTAGATGACACTTTATGCTGAAATGAGTTACTATGTGATCTTTTCTTCAGGGGATCTTTCTATTTCTGAACTTTCATCAGTAAAGGTGTTGCCAGATCAATCTTTAAACATGTGCAGTAAATATTGGAACACCTCCAGTAAATTTTTGAGGCCTAGGATTTTCTGCCTGGAGCATGCTGTTCAACTAGTAGAGATGTTGGAGAGCAAAGGTGGAGCCAATGTGCTTATAATTTGCCATTCAGGTTAGTTTGCAGTTTACAAATCTGTTTGCATTCATTCTGTAAAAGTTGGGTAAAATCAAATATCTAACTACAAGAGATGTATGACTTTCTGTCTTCTTCAGCTTTCAACATCAATTTAGCAAGGAAAGCTTGTGGCTCTTGTATATAATAATCTGACCAATGTTTCAGCTAAATAGGGTTTGTTAAAGTATCTTGGAATATCTTACATCTTGCATGATGTCTTGGAATAATTTTGAGTGTTTACTTATTTTAACATGGTATCAAAATGACACCCTTCTCCATAACCTGTCTCATCTCTTTATTGCTGTCTAGTTTCAAAAGTTGGGAATGCTTTTGTGTGGTATTTTCTGGTTTTCAATTACCAGCTCTCACTGTGTTGTTGGCCATAACAAATTTTGGTCACCCTTTCTCTTTGACTAAGTGTTTAACTTCTCATCTCTTCACCAGCCTTACTGCTCTGCTATTGTGGTTTTGGAGGCAACTGCACCGTGCTACTATCTGTTAATGACTACTATGAGAAAGACATGGAAGGAAGTTGCTAAGAGGGATCTTATGGTGAATAATATCTGTGAAAAATTGGTCTTTAACTGAGCCAAATGGTGTCATGTGATCCATGTAGCTGACCTTATATAGTGACTTTTGTTGTTGTTATTATTGTTGTTTCCTTAATTTATTAGGATTAGGATTACAAGTCTAATGATCTTTTTAAGTATAAATAAGATTCTGCTCTTTCTTCTAAAAAAAGTATAAAAGATACAATACCATTTTGTATCACATGTTATTGCATTGTATCAATATCAATTTTAGATTAGTCATTCTCAAGTTTATGAGTTTCACCTCTTCATTCCCTGCATAAACCATATAATTTCCGCACAAATCAATATATAATTTGTTACATCAGTTTCTGTTGCAATCCATGTGCACAAATCAACTGTTGATCAATATATAATTTGTGTTGCAATCCAGTTTACATCAATTTGTTATCAGTTATAGAAAAGCAAGTTGTATTTTATAACTCAAGAAACAATGACAACATAGATCTGTATTTCAAATATTTATTTTCTTATACTTTTCTTCATTTTTGTAGACTTTCAGAAGATAAAGGCACATGCCAGTGCAGTCGCGGATGAGATACATAGTGCTTTTGATTATAATGAGGTTCCATTAGAAACAGCATCCTCAGAATATTTGACTCTGATAGATCGGGCAATTGATGGTGAAGAACTTGATGAATGCGAAGATTGGACATCTAAACTAGGCATTAACCTACAGTCTTGTGTCCATGCAAGAAATAACCCTCTATCTAAACAAGTTCCTTGGACACTAGGGACGCTGTTCTACGGTAAACCTCCTGCTTCAAAAATTTTAGCTTTAAATTGGCAGTCGCAAAGATCTCGGTCTAAAAAGTCAAGTCGTTTAGCTCAGACTAAACCCTGTGACAGCATTCAGAGAAAGAATGGTGATCGGTTGGATGGAAGAATAGATGACTCCACTTCTGAAAAGAAGTTAATTCAATATTCAAGGAGGAAGTTCAAGTCAAAGCAAAGGTGTTTCCCTGTAGTAAGCATGGCCTGTGATTTCCAAGAGAAGTCCAAAATTGTGTCGGCTATCTCAAGTGGGGATCATTATAATTGTGTTTCTAAAAATGGGCTTGAAGCTGAGAATTTCAGGAGTGATTGTACATTGTCATGTGTCTCTACTTCTACTGAAATGTTTCCAATGCATCCTGAAATCCAGATTGCTGAAATGCCCACCAGTATGAGATTGAATGCTGCTAAGTCACAATCTTCGAATTCCATTCATGATCATATTTTGATGATCGAAAAAGTTGGAGCAGAGACTGAGAATCAAACTCTGCAGGAATCAGACCAAGACAGAAGAAATGATTTAACAGTCAGTCATTCTAAGATGCATTGCAATACCAGTGTCTCAGAAATACGTCGCAAGGAGAGCCAAGATTGTCAGGACAAGAAATATTCTAGTTCACTTACAAATGCAACAGATAGAAATATTGAAATGATTAGAAAGACTGAAAATACAGAAGCAGTTATCACTCGTAGCGAGTGTAATAGCTTAAGTCTGTATGATGAAGTGCATCAAGAATATCAGTCTACTTGCAAAAGCAACAATGACGAAGCTGCTTTATCACCTGCTTCATTGGTAAATCATTCTACTCTTGCCTCTAGGGATGGAAGTTTTGAAAGTCCAAATAATTATACTGCAGAAAGAATTAGCAATCCTATTTTCTTAGAAACAAGAACTGAGGAAGGAATTGATTCTTTAAGTGAAAGGGACAAGGAACCTCTAATTGATGACCAACCAATTAGCAAACCTACTCCAAAAGATGTTTGTAAAGTTCAAAGAGAGCATTATGCTTCTGCAGACTTGCGTAATAACATAATTTTGGATACTGAGATGCAACAAGAAACTCAGGGTGGGGAAGATGCTGGAGGGTTGAATGAGGAAGTGATTCCAGAGTCCGTGGAGCAGTGTCAGATGAAAAATAAGAATAAAATTAATGAGACACCTGTTTCTGGCTATGTTGCCAAAGGTGAAAATAAAAGCCTAACTACATCAGAATTAGGCTGTTCTGAAGTTTTGGTGGAAACCTGTCCTAAAGAATACTCCTGTATTCAATTTATTTCAGATAAAGAAAAAGAAATGAAAATCCAGTCAATTAATAGAATTGATGAAGAACATTGCTCTGGCACTGATGCATTGCTAAAGGACTCTTCTCTATCAATTGAGGAATGTTCTGAAACTGAGAAAGAGACGTGTGTTAGAGAAAACGTGAATGGAATCAAAGCTGATTTGTCACAAAATAATAGGGGGCAGGAAAGCTGTGAGTTGACTACAGCAGTTCCCAGATCAAATGCTCGGAAGAAAAGGAAGAGGGAAGTAGAACATACAGCAAAAGGCCAATCCAATTGTGACAACTTTATTAGAAGTCCATGTGAAGGGCTGAGGCCAAGAGCTGGGAAGAATGCTGGTGGCAAAAGTGGGGTGGAAATCAACCAAATTGACAAGGAAAATCAGTTGGCTAAAAGAGCACGGAGATCTTCTGAAGTTTTGGTTCCTCGCAAAAATAAAAAAGATGATGTTAAAAGGCCCCACAAGTGTGACCTTGATGGTTGCCGAATGAGTTTCAAGACTAAGGCCGAGTTACTGTTGCATAAACGAAACCTCTGCCCACATGAAGGGTGCGGTAAGAAGTTCAGCTCCCACAAATATGCTTTACTTCACCAGCGTGTTCATGATGATGAGAGGCCCCTTAAGTGCCCATGGAAAGGTTGTTCCATGACATTCAAGTGGGCATGGGCAAGGACAGAGCATATACGTGTACATACCGGGGAGAAGCCTTATCAATGCAAGGTTGAGGGATGCGGCCTTTCTTTCAGGTTTGTATCAGATTTTAGCAGGCACAGACGGAAAACGGGGCATAATGTGAAAGCTCCTGCTTGAGACATAGTATTCATTTGTGAACATTTTGTTCTTGCAACATGTGCATATTTGCAGTTAGATTCGTAAGAAGCGAGGCATAGAGTTGTGTCTGACCATAAGCATTCTGGTTAGCTGTAAAGTTAGGATAGAATGGCTGTTTTTGTAGGTGCTCCATATCCAATTCATTTGAAGGCAGTTAGAGTTGGTAACTTCAGAGAGTTTTGATATTTTTCTATCATTAAAATTCATATATAGCAACAGCCTCTAAAGGAGGGAAAACTCTCCATTAAGGGAAGCTGCATCATGTTGGTTGGTCATGCCTCTGAGAACTTACTTTTTTTGATTGCCTGTTCGGATGTACTTATGGTTCTTTTGTAGCAGTTGATAGGTCCTTGATCATTCAGGATATACAGTGTTGTTCATTATGGATGTATATTACTTTGGATTAACTTCATTTGTTATTAAGGGGGACAAGAAAGCTGAGAGCAAGAAACAAGGTATGTGCTCTCAATTGTATGTACTTTCTTCTTGGCTAGTAAATTCAGTGGTTAAACATTCACTTGAGACTGCATATTCTGCCCTTTTCCGGTGTTTTTTTTAAGGTAGTTAGATTCCCCCCCCCCCCCCCCA